CAGCTTGAACTTCTTTCTTCATCACCATAGGCTCTTGCTCATATGTTATTTCATTAAATTCTTCTGTGTCTGCCAATTCCTTTTGATACAGTGACTCAGTAGAATTAATTTAAGTAGAAAAACTAGAGATCCAGTGAGCAGTCAGGAGACATTGTAGTCAGTTCAAGCAAGAAAGTGGATGGTAGAATCCAGAGCGTAAGTCAGGAGGATAGTGGGAATTATTCAATAGATCTCCCTTCTCTTGAAGTGGAGAGTGGAGTGTATGTGTAGAGGATATGTTGGACTGGGAAGAAAAAATAGTTCATTCCTATGCATTCCAAGTTACAAGGAGGAGAGATGAAATGAAAGTAGGAGGGCTGAGGTGAATGGTGAAGGGTGAGAGTTATGAGCATGAGAGTGGTAATGACCAAACATAAGAAAAGCATAGTTAGTCATTTCTCTAGAGAACTTCCCTCACCTTTATTGTCCTCAAAGCATAGACTCTCAGAACACTTAATTGTGCTCCTGGGGCATCTATTCTTAGACCAAGAAGCAGTTGTGTGTCAGGGTTGTATCCTTTCTTCATACCTATTCAATGATGTCAGTCAGAGACTAAGGTGTACCTGATACAGGCCCTGGTATTTGCAGTTACTTGCTATGCATCCTAAAATCTGGACAATGACTAGGGATGATAGAAGGAGAGTTGATGCCTTTGAGCTGTGGTGCTGGAGAAGAGGGTTGAATATACCATGGACTGCTAGGAGAACAAACAGGTTCGTCCTGGAGAGGGTTATGCCAGGCTGGTCCTTGGAGGCAAGTATTCTGAAGCTTCCTCTGAAAAACTGGGCATGTTGCAAGGCAGGATTAGTCCTTGGAGAGGGACGTCATGCTTGGGAGGGTGGAGAGACAGCTCAGGAGAGGAGGACCCTCGATGAGATGGATTGATTCAGTCACCGGGGTAATGCGGATAGGTGTGTTGGAGACAATAAGATTGGCAAGGGATAGAGCAGGGTTTAGGGCTATTGTACCTAGGGTCACTATTTTGCAGGCAACTCGATGACACATCACAACAGCAACAACAGTCAATATGTGTACTGAGAAAATCATTCACGAAGGTGGATTCTGTGAAGAGAATGTCATCAGGATTGTAGGAAGACTCATCTATAACCTGCGTAATGCTGATGATACAACTTTGCTTGCCCTGAAGCTTAGAAAGTGGGAAAGGACTATCATTCCTCAAACTGCCACCAGATGACAATGTTGCCTAACATGTTCTCTGTTCTGATTCCTGTGGTTTGTCTTCTCAGTTCCCAACCGTACTTGGTAGTTGCAGTATGTCTCATGTTCAACTGTGAGCTAATCTTGTGAACTGTGTTTCTCTAGGCACAATACCGCGGGGGCAAGTGTTATCCTGTGGTGTGTGATTCAAGCCAGGAGAGCCAAGTGCAAAGCCTGTTTGAGCAGGTGGCCCGAGAGCAGCAGGGGCGTCTAGATGTGCTGGTCAACAATGCCTATGGAGGAGTCCAGGTATCTTTTGAGCTCTAATCCCAGCTTTATGCTTCTGACTTCCTCCTATGGTTCTCTGAGTCCTCTTCCATACTCCATATTCTGCTCTTTACCCAAACATTCATATCTGCTGGTCTTCAGATTATTCATTATCCAATCTGTGCCTTCTAGACAATCATGAACAATATGAAGAAAACATTCTGGGAAGTCCCCGCCTCCATGTGGGATGACATTAACAATGTTGGACTCAGGTGAATATCTCCCTTTCCCAGTATGTCCTCATCTCCTTTTCTTTCCACAATCCACCACACTCTTTTACCTCTTCTCCCTTCTGACCAGTTTTCCCCACTTTCCTCTAGAGAAGTTCCTTTCAAGTGAGCCTGCACCTGAGTATGTCTGCTTTTGCCTGCATTCTGTTAGTAATTTTCATCAGAGCAAGGCTCTGATGGCTCACCTTGGCCTTACTCCCTGCCCACCCAAGAGAGTGCTTTCTCCTCCCAGTAATGCACATCTTCTGTAGTCGGTGCTTTCAAAAGTGGTCAGAGGAATAAATGGTTTTGTTTGAGATCAGGAAAAGATGAAAAAGAAAGAGTAAGTACTAGTCCCCTGCTTCCTTATCTTCACCCCCAACTGACTGTGCAGGTGCTCCTAGATCCTAGTAAAGAGGGAAGTTGTCGCAACAATGAATGAATGGAAACCCAAAATCTCTGTAAATGTTCATTAAAATTAATAAAATTTAATTTTAAAAAAAAAGAGGGAAGTTGTCATTGGGTCCATTTGCCTGACACAGGCCTGAGGAAAAACAACAGCATCCATAATTGACTGATGCAGCATAATAGATACCAGCTCAGCCCCTGGGTGATACAGTTAAATGTGCTTGGCTACTAGCCAAGTAGTTGGAGTTTAGGAAGCCCTAGTGACATAGAGTGCTGTGTTGCCAACCAAAAAGCTTGTGCTTAGAATCCACCCCTAGGTACTTTGAAAGAAAGTCCTGGTGATCAATTTCTGAATATTAAGCCACTGAAAACACCATGGAGCACAGTTCTACTCTGACACACACATGTCTATGGGAGTTGGAATTAACTCAATAGAAACTCATTTTGGTTTGATTATTTCACTGTTTATTATTGTTAGGATGATGTTACTCCCTTGGCTAGTAAAATTTACTCAGTGGATGTGGGAGTAACCAAGAGATTATCTAGAAGTGTTTGTTCAAAGTTTTTAGAACACCTGTTGCTCCAGTTATGATACTCTGTGAGCCATCTGAAAAAGCAAGAATAGGATGTGATAGTGAATTTCAAAGTGGAAGAGATTGTGAGAATAGCATAGAGATAAGAAAGTAGACTCAAAGAACTGGAAATTGGCAGTGCCTAGGTTCCTAACAAGAAGCTCTGTTAACAAACGAATGGATAGAAAAGCTGTGATATATTCACATAATGGAATACTACGCTGCATTGAAAAACAAGGAAATCAGGAAATATTATTCAAAATGGGTGACCCTGGAGGACGTTATGCTGAGTGAGATATCTCAGTCACAAAAGGACAAATACAGCACAGTGTCACTGCTGTAAAACAGGACTGATATCAGGGTTGGGGGGAGACTGAGAAAGGTGGCATAAATAATGCATACTGCATTGAAACAGATGAGGGAGAAAACAGTTTAAAAGGGATATGTGATTAGGTATTGTCATTACAGGAGTCCAGAGTGAATGCTGCATAGTGGAGTGGACTTGGGGGGATGGATTGTATAACAATGAAAGAATTTTTCTTTTACTTTTCAAAGAGAAAAGAGAATTGTGGGGATGGATGGGTGAGCAGGAAAAAAAGTGCAACAATAAATGAATGGAAATCCTCAGTCTAAACTTCCATTAAAATTGATAATAATTTAAAAAAAGAAGCAGCTGTGGTGGCATAGTGTGTAGGGAGTTTCACTCCTAACCTAAAGGAGGTATTTGTTGTCAGTTTGAGTCTACCAGCTGCTCTCTGGGAGAAAGATGAGCATTCTCCTCCCATGAGAATTACAGGGTAAATTAAGTTAGTCCCAATTTGATGGCAATAAGATATCCATATCCCTCCTAAGATAGATGTCTTCCATTCCTCCATTCCTTGTTGATCAGAGCCCATTATACAGAGGCTCAGATTGATGCATTATCCAATGTAAAGGCTACTCTGTAAGTCTCTTAGCTAAAGGTCTATATAATATTATTTTTTTTCTTTTTTTTAATATTTTGTATGCGTGTACCATCAAATCGGATCTGACTGGTACAGGAGGATATTGCTCCTCCTTCTCCAGCAGAGCATCTGGTGGATTCGAACTGTGTACCTCTGGGATTGCAGTGCAGCTTCTTGCCACTAGGCCACCAGAGCTCCCCCTATATAATATTATTTATCTTACTGTCATTCCTTTCTCTCTCCCTTTGCATAGCTACTATTAATAGTCTGGTACATATTTACACATAAAACATTTTTTTCCTCTCATTTTTAATACCCACAAACTAGTTTATTGGGAGAATGTAGCATAATTTGTCTAATCCTTATTGGTGGCAGTTGGACTATTTAATATTTCAAGAGATTGGTTAAATACACAACTCAATCCTATAGTTTATATCCTGCCTCATTTAATTAACACAACTGCCTCATGTTAATCCTGCCTCATTAATACCACAGTAAACCAAACCCGTTGCCACTGAGTCTATTCCAGTTATTGCATGGCAGATCTCCATCAGGTTTCTGAAGCTGTAAATCCTTATAAGAGAAGACAGCTTATCTTTCTCCTTTGGAGCAGCTGGTAGGTCTGACTCACTGACCTTGCAGTTGGGAACCCAACACTGTTCCACTAGAGATCCATCATATACCATTCAAGTTAGGATTTACAATACATAGGATAATTACATCAGATCACAAAGTAGAGGATGATTACACAATACTGAGGATCACAATCTAGTGAAGTTGCAGTTCAATCCATAACAGTGTATACGTACTTGACATATACATATGTATTAGTTTTAAGAAGACAAATCTGTCAATCTTTTATTCTTTCTATTATTATAATGCTAAGAAAAGGTCCAAGTTTGTAAACACCTTCACCCATGTTTTCTTTCACTTTTTTTTTTTTTTTAATTTTTGGGAGACACAGTTCAATTTGTAATTGCCATCCATGGATGTTGTGTCAATATCTTGGCTGGGCTTTTTTGTTGGTTTTTTCTTTGAATGAAAATTTACAAATCATACTGGGTTTTCAATCTTACATGCACCTGGTTTTCCTTTAGTACATTTTGCGTTTCAGGTTTTTGGATTGCTGAGGTGGTTTTTTTTAGGTCTCCTATTATTGTTCCTGGTGCCCTGGTGGCCTAATGGACTCAAAGGCATGTGTTTCAAATTCACTAGCTGCTCTGAGGGAGAATGGTGGACAATGTGTGCTATTTACAGCCTCTGAAAGTTGGTTCTGGCTAGATAATTATGTATACCCAAAGTTAATACCTAAACCCAAAAATCAAGTCAATACACTTGAACAGAAAAATTGAAAACTCAGCAATAGCAGTCATTGTCTCACTACCATCTCTAGCTAGCCAGTTTTCCTAATTCTACTTATTCAGTGATCCAACATTCCCATTCATTTGAAATTATTCCTTTATTATATATTGAATTCTTATTTCTATTTCTGTGTAATTTTTTACTATTTCACTATTTTATCTTTCCATCATAATACTAATACTGCCTGTCATTATTATAAAGATTAGTATGGAAGGGGGAACATATCCCTCTCACCCACCAGATATCATTCTTTTTTCAGGATTTTCCTTGTTTATTCTCATCAAACTTTTATTTCTCTATTCCTACATAATGTCTTATCAGGATATAAGATTTAATTGAATATATAAATTGACTTCATTAGAATTTGGGTTTTTTTATATGTTCATTCTTCATTTTCTGTCTGTACTTGTTCTTTTACATTAGACAGAATACTCTAATATTTTCTTTATGTATGTTAAAAGTTTCTCAAACTCCCCTCCATGATATTTTATGTTTATAATTGTTACTGTAAATTTTATTCTGTTAGATCTTCTAAATATTGCCATTTCTCATCTGTCATTAGATGAGTTTTACCTGTTTTCCTTCAAGAACTGACCATTAACCCCTGATCTCCTAGATCTGCAGCCTTCCTTCCATCACTGCCACTAGGGGATACTGACCTTTCTGAGGGCCTGCAGTGCCCAGGCCAGCTCTGATCTGGAATTCCTCTTCCTTCCCCTACCCCATCTTCCAGAGGCCACTACTTATGCTCAGTGTATGGGGCACGTCTGATGGTACCAGCTCGCCGGGGACTCATCGTGGTCATCTCCTCCACTGGGGGTCTGCAGTACCTCTTCAATGTCCCCTATGGTGTGGGCAAAGCTGCGGTGAGGACCCAGAGACATGTGGGATTAGGAGGAAGTGTAGAATAATTGTGTTACCCATGGATCAGGAGATCCAGGCCCTGCAGGATGGGATCAGATTCGCTGCCCTTACTGTTCCCTCTAGTCCTCCAGGAAAAGCTCCTTTGTTTTGGCTTCTTTGCAGTTGCTGGAACAACACCACACTGGGGAAGGTGGGCAGCTGAGTCTTCTGGGCCCCTGAGAAGGGCAAAGGCATTATCGGGGGAGCAAAGAGGGTCCAGGGAATGTGACATGACTAGTACTGTGGAGTGCTCACTCTGCCTCTTTCTCTCTATAGTGCGACAGAATGGCTGCTGACTGTGCCCATGAGCTACGGAGCCATGGTGTCAGCTACGTGTCTCTGTGGCCAGGGCTGGTGCAGACAGAAATGATAGTGGAGGCCAAGGAGGACTTGGCCAAGGATCCTGAGTTCAAA